CATTGAGCATACTGCCTGGCATCCTCAGAGTATCCTCATGTTATACAACATCCAGCCGTCTGGAGTGCTGGGAGAGTGTAGAAGTGTTCCTGGGGATGGTTTCATAGGATAATCCAGGGATGGAGGAAGAGTAAAAGCAATCCTGGCATCTGACATTGGTCCTAACAGCAACCATGAGTCAACCTCAAGTGCTGAGGGACCAGCAGTGTTCTCAGCACTACTGGGCGTGTGCTGTGGTCACTTGGCTATGGTCCTCTTCAGTCACACTGTCTGAATGTTGTTCTTATAAAGTTGGCCTGGGTTCTTTTTAGAAAAACAGCCTCCACCATGTGATGTCATGGTCCAGTCTGGGTCAGGGAAGGAGGGGGAGTTAGTTGTATGTAGGATCTTATTTCCGGAGAGGTCAATCTGGTCTTGGAAGAAATTCTATCCTTTTCCCTTCCTTTCAAGACCCAAAATGGAATTGATATTCTGATTTAGAGTGAGAGGGAAGTAATAACTCATGATTAAGACATGAAGCTTAGCATCAAGCAGTTCTAGGTTCAAATCCTGACTCTTCCAATTGCTACCGCTGGGACCTTGGGCAAACCACTCCTGTTTTCCCATTACACCCATGGACAAGATAATTCTGATGTTATGGTGGTAAGGTTTTAAGAAGTTTGTGCAAAGAGTTCAGCACATGTGTCAGAGAACTCACTGTACAGCACATAGTGACTGTTCAATAAATGGTAGCTACTATTAAGTCCTTAGCAGGTGAGGAATATAACGACCATTTTCTATGCTTTTTACAAACCTGAGAGCCAAAGTTTTCTTTGATAACCATTTTTCCCTTTGAGAAAAATGGTCATGTTCCTCATGCCAAGTGTGCCAACATTCAGGAGAAGAGGAGGCTATGGAGAGATTAAGTAATTGTGTCCCTATCCTTTTGTTTTCCCCTCCTTAGCCAGCTGGCTCCATCGCTGCAGCCCTCTTGGTTCTCCTTGCTGCCTCCCTGCCCTCTGCAGATGTCTGTCTCCTCCCTCCAGCTTGGATAGATCAGCCCCACCCAGCCAAAATTTCTGGCTTCCCTGATCCTGACTCTCCCCCACATCATCTGCTATTCTTTTCTCTTTATTTTGTAGACAGCTGGGGAAGAGGCCAGCATGTGAATGTCTCTACACCATAGAGACATTGATTCCAGGATGCTCTGCATAACTTCATTGTGCAGGAGGCCCCCAGTGCTTTTTACTTCCCATTATGTTGTTCTGGATGTGTGTGTGTGTGTGTGTGTGTGTGTGTGTGTGTGTGTGCGTGTGTGTGTGTGTTTAGAGAGAGAAGGCTGAGGATTACAAATGGCACTTCTTCGAAGGACTGAATCATCTCTTCCCTTGCTCCAGGCAGGGTAGCCCTTAGCCTGTAATGAGAAGGGAAAACTATATGACAGTAGGATCCCTACCAGGAGAACAATCTAGGTTGGGGCTAGAAATCTCAGGTCAATGTTCAGTTGGACCAGAACCACATTCCTCTCTTCCCAAGCACTAGGGGTGAAAGTGGGGTAGGGACAGAGGAATAAGGGAGTGTATAGGGAACTAAAGAACAGACCCCACTGGATATAAGAGGGGGGAAAAAGATTAAAACAATACTATACAATAGTTAAAAGTAAAGTGGCATCTATACATGCTATCATGGATATCCAAGACATGTTATTAAGTAAAAAAAAAAAAAAAAAAAGCACTAAACAACATGGATAGTAAATCCTATTTATGCCTGTTTTTAAAGTGCAAAATATGTGGGGAGGTGAGTGAGAAAGGACTGGGGCTATAAAGTTTTCTGTGATTAAATATTTTGCAACAGAGATTAAGCTGCAGACAGATTTGGAAACTCTGGCTTTAGTGTGGTCATGTTTTTCCGGTATTACCTCAACAACAGGAAGACTGAGTCTACACCTTGAAGAAGTTTGACCCTAAGGGACAACAGACCTGCTCAGCCCATTCTTTTCGGTTATCCCCAAACAGCAAATACTATCAACACTGAATCATGTCAAGAAACACTTCAAGGTACTGATGATCCAGAAACCCCATCCTGTCCTTTGAGGGTCCCTTAAATTTCATGTCTCTCCTGTCTCCTGCTACCCATCTAAGACTCCAAAACCAAGCTTTTCTATCTGTGTGACTTGAAGTCTTCTTAACCACCCGTGCTCTATGGAATCCAGTGTCATCATTGCCTTTGATTATGCTTGTGTGAGGCAATCATGGCAGCATCTCCCTTAAAGGAGCAAGTTTGAATCTTCTTTGCACATTTTGACTCATGGCCAGGTTATTTACATGATTTGAAAGAAAAAAATATATTTTGCTACAAGTATATACTTATGTATTACTTGGAATTAAAAAGTATATTTTTAGCCCTGGTTGTTGTGGCTTAGTTGGTTGAGCATCATCCTGTGCACCAAAAGGTCACCAGTTCGATTCTGGTCAGGGCACATGCCAGGTTTTAGGTTTGATACCTGATTGCAGTGCATGGGGGGGGGGGCAACCAATTGAGGTTTCTCTCTCTCTCTCTTTCTCCCTTTCCCTTCCCCTCTCTAAAAAAACTCAATAAAACATATTTTTTAAAAAGTATACTTTTATAGTAAAAATGATACATTTTAAAGCCAAAATGGGCTTAGAAAAGAAAGGTAAGGGCTCCTAGGGGTGGAAAACGGACTTCCCATGAAAGAACCTATCCCTAATAAAATCTCTGTCCCTTTGCTGTAGAACATGGGATTATCTCCTATGGCCACTTGGAAAAGGAAGGTAAGGTCTTCAGTCTCCAGTCTCCAAAGGATCATAGCCAACCCCAAATTACCAGGATGCTCCCAGGAGTCAAGGAAAACATCCAAACATGTAACTGGTAAGAAAAAGTGGGAAGAGGAAAATTAGGAGAGAAAATTCCCAGACTTTGCAACAGAAGGGTTTGGACTTCCATGTTGAGGAATGACTACCACAAGCTCTCCTTTGGAGGTCTTCAATCCTGAAGTAAGCTTAATCCAACTCTGAGCTAAAAATCACACTTTCTGCCAAGTCACCTGTGTATTCTCTTTTGATTCTAAGGTCATTTTGTGGATGAAAATGTTGAGCTCCAAAGACATGAAATGGCCTGCCCAGGGTAACACAGCAAGACAGAGGCAGAACCTGCCTTCAGAATCCTAACCAATGTTTGTTTTTATTCATTATACCATACTCCCCTATTTAAAACCCAACATTTACTTTTGTCAGCTTTAATCTTGATCCCAACACCTGTCCTAACCACAGTGAGTTTAGGTGCTTCTGAACCCAGCCCAGTGGAAATGGCTGATTTTGCTTTCTGCCCCTCCTTGCTTCCTCCTTCCATCTTATCATCCAGAATTTCCCTCTTGACTGTGTTTTCTTTTTCAAAGATGGACAATCTCAGGTGGGAGGGAAGGGATGGATTTTGTCCCTGGCCTGAAGTGGCTCTGAGGTGCTTGGCTCTTTTCTGCACACTGCAGAAGATGACCCTCTGCAGAAGGGCTATGGGTTTATGCCAAGTAGGCCGCTTCCCCTCTCCCTCTGGATGTCTTTCTAAAGCAACCTCTTGACCCTACCTATGGAGGAGGCCACAGGTTATCAGTGGCCATGATTCAAGAGCCTAAGACCCCGAGATGAAGATTCTGAAGAGACGTCATGAAAGATAATTCGTGGTGGGCAGGGATCAGTAAACTTGGACAACAGCAGCAGCTGAGTCCAAGGGTCAGTGTCTGGGAGTAATTTAGGAAAGTTCAGTGCTGACAGCTGTGTCTGGAGTTGAACGTCATGGTCGAGTCAGCTCCTGGGCTCCTCCACTGCTTCATGCAAATGAAACTCTGGCTCAGGACACAGAGATAGCTGTGGTATGGCCGAAGTCAGGGCCCCTGGGGCCCAGGATCACTATGCTACTTGTCAGCAGTTGTGACCTTAAGCAAGTCCATAGAAAAGGAGGAAAGGAAACTAGTGTCAACTGAGTGCATGTAACGCCCTTTCACATGTCACCCTTACTACAGTTTAATGAAGAGGGTAATCCCTATTTCACATGGGAGGACACTAAGGATTTGTGAAGGCAAGTGAAGCTTCTGAACTCCAAGTTCTGGGCTCTTTCCCCTCAACTTTTGCTTATTTCTCTGTAAAACGGGGATAATAATGGATCCATCTCATGAATGAAGTCACACACTAGATTCTAAACCCCTTCTTTCTCTCAAGCTTGATCCTGAAAAATTGTGGCCACCTTCTACCTGGGAATTCAGTCTCCTTACTTTTGCCACCTCCCCAGTCCTGCTTGTGGGTCTAGGCCCCAGGGGTTATCTTGAAGGAAGGGTACTGGGACTTTGGTTTCCCTCTACCTCTATTCCCAGGTCTTCTACCGACTCTGGAGGGCCGGCTTCCTTCTCCTCCCGGTTTTGGCAGGCGGGCTGACATCAGTGGGTTCCCAGGGAAACTGGGAACTCTGAGCCCAGCTCTTGGCGCGCCTTGCCCCGTGGTCCAGGACGGCCCTAACCCTCTGCTTTAGATTCTGAGGCATTGAGAGGCCCCTGAGCTCCCAGACCCCTCCCTCTACTCCTCTTCTTATACTCCTCCGGAGGGCAGCTCCCTCCATACCCCGCCTCCACCCCTGCCCACCTCCCCTTGAAAGAGAAGGTACGACTGGAGTCCTGGGAGCGGATGCTGGGGGACCCGGGCAAGTCCTGGGCGCCACTCGGCAGAGACCAGGAAATTGATCCAGGTTCTGGGGTTACGAGGGGAGCTGTCCAGCCCCGCAGGGTGAGCTGGACAAAAAGGGTGGGTCCTCGCCGGCGAGGCGGTGGGAGGGGCAGGCGCCAGGGCAGGGTGAGGCTGCGACTCCCACTCCAGCCCGCCGCCCCGGGCTTCACCCCCGCCCCCCACGTGGCCACCGCTGTCCCAGCCCCTGCGAGGAAGCGGCGCGGCTTCCTGCTTCTGGGGCGGGGGATATAGGCGCCCCCGCCCCGGCCCGGCGCAGCGCCGCCGCCCCTCCTCGCCTGCTCGCCACGCGATGGCCTCGCTCCAGGCAGAGAGTGCCGCCGGCGGCCCGCGGATCCCGGCGACCCGCGTGGGGCCACCCACAGCGCTCCGCCTCCTCCTCCTGCTGGGGGGTGAGCGCGGCACCCTGGGGCCAGGGTGGGAAGCGCGGGAGGCCCTGGAGGGGGAGGAAGCTGGATGGCCAACGCCAGAACGGGCCCCGAGCTGTGGGTGCAGACAGCGCAGTCCTTCGGACCGTCCCGGGCCCCACCTCCGTAAAGGCACCGCGCGAGCTGCTTTCCACTTGGAGAAGATGGGTGGGGGTCCCCGCAGAGAGGTCTTGGGAGGTCTGCGGTGGCGAGGAGGGAAGGAGTTTGGGATCTGAATGCGGGAGGTAGGTGGTACTAGCCCCTCTCTTCTGGGCACTGAGGCCCCCGGTGGGTGGGTGGATTATTCCTCCTTCGGTTCTGAGAGTAGCTCCGACTTCCAAAGGTCTTGGCCTCCAACTCACACCCACCCTCGAGGCTCCACTGCCGAGATCCCAGCTAGTCCACCTCCTCTTCCATTTCTGCCCACAGCTATCCTGAATCCCCAGGAGTCCCTGGCTCAGATTCTTACCACCCCCGGAAGCTTGGAGTCAGAAAGTGAGTAGTCAGCAGCTGTGGGAAGGTGGCCTGGGGCAAAAGGGGAGGCAAGTCAGTGGGGAGGATTCCTTTCCCACAAGGTAGGCCTCTAAGCTGGCCCACCTCACAGGGGGGTTAGAAGGCCCCATAAAAACTATGTGGAAATCCCATTTCTGCCCACAGCTATCCTGAAGCCCCAGGATTCCCTGACTCAGTTTCTTACCACCCCAGACAGCTTAGAGTGGGAAGGTGAGTAGGCAGCAGTTATGGGAAGGTGGCCTGGGGCAAAAGAGGAGGCAAGTCAGGGGGGAGGGTTCCTTTCCCACAAGGCAGACCTCTAAGCTGGCCCCCCTCACAGGTGGGTTAGAAGACCCCAGAAAAAGTATACGTGGAAACTCTTGTCAGTCCGGGAAGGGCTGTGCACATGGAAGGCATTAACATTTTCCTGAGTTGGGACTCTTTCCTCAGCCAGAAGTGTCTTGTTTGGGAAACTTTCTGAGGCTGTGCTAGCAGGTCCTATGTTCAAAGTCAGGGACAGTGGCACTTAGATGGAAGTACCTGGACCAGAGGGCTTGGAAAGAGGGGCGGGTTGTGGTCAATGTGCAGTATTAGTGCCCACAGGGACAATGATGGACGAGTACAATGGGAGCATTTTACACTGCTGGCAAGACTATAAGGGTTATATGGACTCTATCAAAGAAGACTGGTGCGACTGGGCCAAAATTAGCAGGTAGGGGCAGTGCTGGAGGGTGGTTTGGGCCAGGGGTGGGGCCTTGAGTAAATGTGGGGCACTCCTCTCTCTGGGCCCAATCCCTCTCTAACTCTAGTCCTCTCCTGCCCCCAGGCCTTATAGCAACCTGCAGGATTGCTTGGAAAAGAATGCAGAATACTTTGGCCTGGGCTTCCCCAATGAATTGGCAGAAGAGTTCATCTTTAAGACTCACCTGACCCACTTTGCCAATTGCTCCCTGGTGCAGCCCACCTTCTCAGATCCCCCAGAGGATGTGCTCCTGGCCATGATCATAGCTCCCATCTGCCTCATCCCATTCCTGGTCACCCTTGTGGTGTGGAGGAGTAAAGGCAGTGAAGCCCAGACCTAAGGTGGCATGAGTTTCTCAGCAGCCACCTTCCTCCTTTCCCCTGCCACCACTAGATCTCTCTCCCTGTCTCCCCACTTCCTTCTCTCACTCTCACTCCACACAGAGCCTTAGATTGGTGGAAATGGAGCTGGGTGGGGTCATGGCATAAGTTTTGTAATTTTCAAAATAAAAGGTTTCTTTTGTACACTGTCCTCCTCCCCATCCCAGTGGGACCTGTGTCCTTCCCAGAGTCTGTCATTTTCACAGGCCCACAGCTCTGGGCAGCAGAGCTGGAAGAATCTGGATAGCCTCACTGTTTTGTTCACTTACTTGCCCCACACAGTCCTCCCTCCCAACCCCCTGAAGGCCACACTCCTACACTCCTTCCTCTCAAGGTGGGGCCTTTCCTGCCTCTATCCAAACCCAGCTCCAGGAAACATACAGGAAAAGACTCCCTTCCGGTCTGGACAGCTGTTAGGGATGGGGGGGGGGGAGCAAGGGAGAGCTTCTGTGACTCCTGCAAGAAGAAAGGGGGCCACCCAGGAGCCCTGAATTTTCTTCTTTCATAACCCAGTTCACTCCTAGAGACTTGGATTAAGAACCCTGATCTGACCAATTGAAGTCCACTCATAAGGACCTCAGGATTGAGGGCAAAGGCATTAGGGGCTCCCTTTGCTAGGTTCACCACAGGACTCCCCACTCCAGGTCCCTGGCCCTCATCCTACATTGTCCTGGACCCCCGGGGTGTGGCCTACAGCCTGGCTGCACACTGCCCCCTGGTGTCCACTAAGCCAAAAAACAAGATGAATGTGTGGTGGAAAAAGCTCAAATTAGGAGACTGGACCTTGTGGTCAAAGACCTGTTATCTCTATAGCAAACACTAGTTTCTTTCTTTTTTTTTTTAAATCCTCACCTGAAGCTATTTTCCCATTTATCTTCAGCTAGAGTGGGGGAGGGGCATCGATGCAAGAAAGACACATCAATTGGCTGCCTTCCGCACAACCCAGTACCAAACCGCAACTGAGGTATGTGCCCTTGACCAGAATCAAATCCGAGACTCTTTGGTCCGCGGGCCAATGCTATAACTGCTGAGCCAGGGCACAAACACTAGTTCTTAACTGGACCCTTCTATCAGCATCCTGAGTCCTACTTATGCTCCCTTAAGAGACTTTCCCACTGTCAATATAAGAAATGTCCAGCCCTGGCCAGTTTGGCTCAGCGGTTAGAGCATCAGCCTGCGGTCCGGAGAGACCCGGGTTAGGTTCCCGCTAAGGGCACGTACTTCGGTTGCAGTTTGTCCCCGGCCCTGGTTGGTCGTGCGGGTGGCAGCCACTCGATGTGTCCCTTCACGTCGATGTTTCTCGCTCTCTCTCCCTTCCTCTCTCTCCTTCCCACTCTCTCTGTACAAAAAATGGAAAAATGTCCTCGGTTGAGGATAAAAAAGAAAAAAAAAAGAAATGTCCAAACTTGCAGTGCATTTTAAAAAGAGTTTACTTGAGGGTGGCAGGACTGGGTGGAGGTGGGCAAAATGGAGGAAATGGAGGACATCTGTAATAGTGTCAACAATAAAAATAGTTTAAAAAAAGTTTATTTCAGCCTGACCTGACAGCATATGCTAGCAGCAAGCTTTCAAATGCTCTGAAGAATGACAGTTTTGCAGCTTCTTTTATGCATTTGAAATTAAAGAGGGGATGTAAGGAATATTATGTGAAGGTGGGAAAAAACAAGGTGAGGATTGGATTACAGGATAGGTAAGATTATTTCCTCTGAGGGTGGTTACGTCTTAGAAGGAGGGCGTTTGAAAAGAGGCATTGTGCTAACCTAGATGCACAGAAACAATGGACAGGGCTTGCTTAAGGCTAGAAATTTATATACCTGGGGTGTGACTGCCCACCATGACCTGCCCCGTTAGGAATTTATTATCTATTACAGCACCCTTTTTTCTCCCACACCAGTTTCTGACTCACTCACCATTATAGTATATGGACACTCCTGGAGGTTCCCTGGACAGTGAGGTTCAGTTCTTACCTAGGAATCATCTCCAATTCTCCTTGGGACAAACCTGCCAGGTCATAAAAAATACATAGAGAACAACTTTGTTCTGTATAAAGACACCTGTTTATTCCTTGTGGCACCTAAGCCTATTCAGGAACTTCCTTTTCCTTGTTGAAATATCTTCCTCCCTGAGTATATGTATATCCATTTCCTAGACATGCCTGTTTATTCCATAGGTACATATATGCTTCCTGAAATGTATGTATTCATTCTCTGAGACACACTTCTCCTCTCAGGATGTATCCATCTCTCTAGAGACACACCTGTTCCCTAGGACATTTTAAGTTTTCACCTGAGATAAATCTTTGCTGTTTCCATGAATGTATATTTCTTCTCCAAGGATATAGCTATGCTTTTCTTGGCCCATATTTGCCTTCATGCATTTAACTAACATACATCAAAGGCATGCTGGTATAAAACACTGTGTATGGTATATGTATTGGAAAATAAGTTAGACAAGTCTTGGTTTCTGCTGTCAATGGCTTTTATCTAGTAGGAGAGCTGACATGTGCAAATACACAAAAACCGTGGAGTGTGTGATAAAAGCCATGCAAGGAATACAAACTAAATGTCTGTATGAGTGCAAAGGAAGGAAGGATCACATATAGCAGAGGTGTGATCACAGAAGGTAAGATCACAAGAGGGGGATTGTAGAGTTGCTACATGAATTGACCTTAGATGGAGTGCATTCCCCTAAGGGAGAGAGTAGAAAGGGAGATAAATTAGGAAACTATTGTAATAATCCAGGCTTGAGAAAAGGAGAACATGGACCAAAAGTGTGGTGAATGGGGAAATTAATTTTTTAAAGTAGAAGAGATGATTAAAAACAGTGGGGGTGTCCCTGGCTGGTTTGGCTCAGCAGTTAGAGTGTCAGCCTGTGGACCAGAGAGTCCCAGGTTTGGTTCCCGCTAAGGGCACATACCTCAGTTGCAGTTTGTTCCTGGCCCTGGTTGGGATCATGTGGGTGGCAACGAGTTGATGTGTCTCTCTCACATCAATGTTTCTCTCTTTCTCTTTCCCCCTCTCTTCCTCCTGCTCTATCTGAAGATAAATGCAAAAAAGGTCCTCGGGTGAGGATAAAAACAAAACAAAAAAACCCAGTGAGGGTGGGGGAATCAACAGGATTTGGATATGAAGCAGGTGACAGAGGAGAGACTAGAGCTGACTCAGGCTTTGAACCTGAGTTACTTGGACAGTGATAGAAGTAATAATAGAAACGGGCCATTAACAGTAGGAGGTAGCCTGAAGAAAAGGATATGTAATATGAGATAACAATGGAACAAGCTGTTATATCCCACAGTGAGTTAGAAATGAGAGTGGTGGTTGGGAGTGGAAAGAGGGTGGAGCTGGAAATATAGGTTTAGGAGTATTCTGCACAGAAATGCCATGTAAAGCTATGAGAGAGATGAGAGTTCTAAGAGAGAATGTGAATTGAAAAGAAGACAGAGGTCAGGTTTTTAGGGAACACATGTAAAGAATGAGGAAAAAAGGAGACAAAGGGAAAGATCAGAGAGACAGTAGCAGAACAAGGATAAAGCAGTGCCATGGAAGCAAAGGAGATGCTGCTCTTTGAAAGAACATCATCACCCTCATCAGTGGGTGAGTGTTGACCCATGCATCAAGAGGTCACCTGGTTCAATTCCTGGTCAGGGCACATGCCCAGGTTTCGGGCTGATCCCTAATGGGGCGGGGGTGTGCAGGAGGCAGCTGATTGATGTTCTTTCTCATCAATGTTTCTTTCTATTTCTCACTTCTTCTTCCTCTAAAATTAATAAAAACAAATGTTTAAAAAGGAAAGAACATGCCCTGGCCGGTTTGGCTCAGAGACTGGAGCATCAGCCTGCAGACCAGAGAGTCTTGGGTTCGGTTCCCGCTAGGGGCACATACTAAAAAAAAAAAAAAAAAAAAAGACAACAAAAAGGAAAGAACATTATCAATTGAATGGTTCATTCATTCATTTAACAAATACTTGTTGCACACTTCTGTGAACCAGGAACTGTGCACTGTGCACAATGAAAGATGGATTTGGATGGGGGAGATGTTAGAGATCAGACAAGATGTTAGAGGGTGGCAAAGTCAAGGACACTGCTTTTTTTTTTTTTTTTACTGACTTTATTGGAATGACATTGATTCACTAAAATATACAGGTTTCAAGTGTACATCTCAATAAAACATGGTCTGCACACTGCATTGTGCACCCATCATCCAAAGCAAAGTCTCATTCTGTCCCCCTTTTCCTTTCTGTGCCCACCTCCACCTACCCTCTCCCTGTTACCCTCTGGCTATCACCACATTGTTTGTGTTTAAGTGTTTTATATATATATATATTTGTTGTTGTTGTTGTTAGTCCCTGCATCTTCTTTCATCCAGTCCCCCATCTCCCCTCTCCTCTGACAGCTGTCAGTCTGTTCCATGTATCCATGCCTCTGTTTCTATTTTGTTGGTCAGTTTATTTTATTCATTAGATTCCACATATAAGTGAGATCATATGATATTTGTCTTTCTCTGACTGGCTTATTTCACTTCGCATAATAATCTCCAGGTCCATCCATGACGTTGCAAAAGGCAAGATTTCCTCTTTTTTTTTTTTTTTTTTTTTAACGGCCAAGTAGTGATCCATTTTGTAAATGTACCACAGCTTTTTTATCCACTCATCTACTGATAGGCACTTGCACTATTTCCAGATCTTGGTTATTGTAAATGATGCTGCAATGAAAATAGGGATGCATATATTCTCTCAGATTGGAAGGACTCTACGTATTTTCAAATAGAGATGAGCTCAGCATATTTGTAGACTAGCAGAGAGGGGGCAGAGGAAAGGGAATGAGGGAATATGATGCACAGAGAAGTCCTGGAGGAAGTTGGAAAGGAGAGGCAAGAAGATATGCCAAAGGGTTGGTCTTGTAAAGGAAGACCAATTTTTTGAGTCCCAAAATTAAGGAGTAAAAGTGGAGAGGAATTTTTTTTTTCTTTTTTTAATCTGCACCCCAGGACATTTTTCCATTTTTTTGTTCAGATACAGTAGGAGGGAGGGAGAGAGAGAGAAAGAAACATTGACATGAAAGGGACACATCGAGTGGTTGCCACCTGCATGACCAACCAGGGCCGGGGACAAACTGCAACCGAGGTACACGCCCTTAGCGGGAACTGAACCCAG